ATCTCGACATCGCTACACACCATACTCAGAAATTCAGCTTCGAGGTCTCTTAGCTCGTTGTGGCGTTGAGTAATAATAATAATAATAATAATAATAATAACAACAAAATGAATCATATATATATATGACTTGCCTATTCATACGGATAGAGAAATTTCTACAAACCGTCCTGACATTGTCATCAAGAACAATCGGGATACGAAATGCACTCTCGTTGATGTGGCTATACCCTCTGATAAAAATAGCTCCACCACGGTTAAACTTTCCAAGTATAAAGATCTGGAAATCGAAATTACCCGAGCATGTGGAATATGAAGACCGAAATAATTCCAGAGGTTGTAGGTGCGTTAGGGATTAAGAAAGGCTCCGAGAATCTCGTTAGAGAAATTCCAGGGAACGTTAACCTCTGGGAAATTCGCTTAAGAGGGTTTCTTTCGCGGATGAAGAACTGAAGTCCTGACACATTGTCTTCTTTGGAAGGGAATTCATTGCATCAAGGCTCCCGATTGCATGCAATTACTAACTTTTTATATTATGTTGTCAATAAAAGTTCCCGGGGGGGAGTCCCATCTAAAAGGGGCCGGGCCCGGATGGTCGTCGGAAATTTTGAATTAAACCCGTAAAGAAGACAAATCTGGGCGTGGCCCAACCTTTTCTTCACTCCTAAAAGAGATCATTTTATGCGTTGATTACATGAATTGAGTAAATAAAACGCATTGAAAATATATAACTTCTAATATTTCTTCGCGTGCAACCCTAAAAGAGACCTTTCCAGCTAAAGATAATGGCGTTTTGCCCAGAACCCCCCAAGTGAGACCAAAATCCGAAATGTACACCCCTAAGTAAGACGACGAGCATCCCTGCCCCTTTCATATGGCAGTCCCCCCGGGTAAAAGTTCTTTGTAAACTCTGAATAGCGTTTGAGATCAGACCATGACGAATCAAGAGGTCGCGCCCATAAGGTGGAGAACAACAATGAAAAGCTATAAAACCATCACCCCCCAAAAATGGTCTCGGTCGCTTTCGAGTGGTTCCAACTTTTGCGCTCTGACAGGGAAAATTATGTGTTTTGAATCAGTGGTCACCATTCTTTTATGTGGTCGCTCGGGTGTTCACACGGTGGAGCTTCGATTGTATTACAGTTCCAAAGGAATTAGACGGGAAATTAAAAATAGCAAGGGATAATGTGTGACTGTATGGAAAGGGAGAAACTGTCAGTTAGCATAAATTCTAGCCTACGATTATTAGTAGTATCTACGACAAGGAAGTAACAAATGGCTCAATGTAGCCAAAAAACGTGATTGCAAATCTCTCTGTGTGTGTAGCTAGTGTGTGTGTGTACATCCATTGAATTAAGATGTCTTTCAAGCTATCACTGGCACTTTTTTCAGTGCTTTCTTCAAAAGATGGTAGGATGGGTCGCTCTTGAGGTTTCTCTTTGCTTTATGCTGAAGTTTAAACCGTTTGAAATGTGACGGGCAATGTCTCTTTTTATCTTATTTGGGATTGTTGCTCAGCGTGTCAAAATTCATTCCTTACAGGAAAAGAATGTACTCATTGTAGATCGCCACGTCAAAAAAAAAATGTATATATAACAATTATTCACCTCAAGTGGAGGTGGCTAGTCGTGAAAATTTACAGAGCTGCGAAGCTGCGAGGTAAATATCCACCACCAGCCATCAACACTGAGGTGAATAATTGTTTTAGTACATACTAAAACAGTGAGATAATTGAGCACAAAAGTGATTATTTTTAACTCAAATACTGTTGCCAACGATTACAATTTTAGCGCATAATGGGCTATTGCATTTAATATCTGCACCCCACAGTTGAGGAACCATGGAATTCTCCAGGGGTAAGTTATATAAATTGAGGATTTCTTTAGGGGTAGAGTAAAAAAAGATGGAATTCTTTAGGGTGAGGCCTTAATTTTAACGAAATTCTTCAGGGGTAAACCCATATTCTTCAGTGGTATGACCCAATTCCTCAGGGGTAAACCCATATTTTATGGAAGTCTTCAGGGGTGAATGCAATTTTAGCCAATCTTCAGGGGAAAGAAGAAAAGGTAAGTCCTCAACCGGGGGGGTATGGATATTTAATGCAATAGACCAATGACCGAACGTCCGCGGCCGTCGCTTTTTCTTGCCGACAAATAAAACTTTTGAAGGTATTTGTTTAGCTCTTGCGGGGAAATTTCTTCAAAAGTAGTTGTGAATTCATTTTGTATTTAAATTTAGTTTAAAGCTTATTTATGAACAAGTCAACTAAACAAAGTAACGCAAGACTTACGCTTAATTTGCATTTGTAAACAAAAAACTTTTTACCGGTTTTATCGATAAATTCGAGTCAAAAAGACAAAGCTTTACCTGTTAAAACTTTCAAACCGAACTTCGTCACCTTCTTCGTGTATGTCGGGAACAGCTTGCTTGATTAGTTGTGAAATTTCTTTGTTTGTTACGGTAGCAAACTGGGAAGGCATTTTGCTCCCACTTTGCGCGGCGTCGCTCGCTCGGAGGAACTGGAGGTGAATCAGTCAATAGTGCAGAATAGTCACTGATTGAATAGCCAATCAGAGCGCGCGAAAAACACTCTCCACCGTTTTAGTGTATACACTTGGACAGTCTGAGAAATACGGTGGCCCGTAAGGGACATTGCAATCTTTTTTTTTTTTTTTAAGTTATCGCACGATAATTCAAATTTATCGCGCGATAAGTTAAAATTATCGCGCGATAAAATGAGCAGTTATCGCGCGATAAATGAGAAAATTTAAAAATTATCGCGCGATAATATCAGTCAAATAGCGAGTAGTCATGAACAAAACTGACAAAATAAGAGAGGGTCAAATACAAATCGGCGACAAACATAACTACAGACCTCTCTCTCAACCCATGGTGAAAGAAACGCACAGCAAGGTCTTGCTTGCGCCTAATCTTCACCGTGAAAATCATATTGATGACATGAAAATCATATTGATGACATACGCGATAAGTTTAAATTATCGCGCGATAACTTAAGGGAAAAAATATATTGTAATGTCCCTTACGGGCCACCGTAGAGAAAGGCTTTAAACTGATATCAGACAAAAACAAAACTTAAATTTAATTTGCTTTGTTACTTTTAAGAACCAGAATTGAGAAATGTATTTCTTGTCAACGGTATTGCTGACAACCTCGTCCCTAGGGCTTTTTCCTCAAAAATGGGTGGGGCGCCCCACCCCACCCATTTTTTGAGGCAAAAGCCCTGGGGACGAGGTTGTATTGTTGGTTTTCCCATGACGTCACTAAAATTCAAACTAAAAAACTATCGATCCTACCGAGATTTTACTTTCACGATGCATTAGAGCAACTGAAAACTAATTTTCATACAAATTTTCGCTTCCAAAGGGTTCTTGGTTTTGTGATAGAGTACGCTTGAATTTCTAAGCTTTTGCGTGACTCGGCATTTACATGACGGCCAAGAGAGCTGTCATGTAGGTGGTTAAAAAAATGAGTCATTTCAGGAAATTTTGATATCTAAACAGTTCACGTCTTAGAAACAGTATTACTTTAATGTTTATGAGTTTATCGAAGAATAAATTCACGCTTTTGTAGCAAAACTCGGTAACAGATGTTTCTGTTGGTTTCCGTCGGCCATCTTGAAGTTCGTGCAGGTCAGCACCAGCATGGCGTCTCCATACGAATCTCTATAAGTTTGGGTAAAACATTTCTTCGGATTCGGATCTGACCTGAATGTTGGCGCGGGTCTTTGTATATGTACTTCCTTTCATTTCCCAGATTCTGGACTTTATCTATTGAACGGTTTTGATCTTTATTTTGATCTATTTTGAATGGCGTGACACTGAAATCCAGCAATAGCTGACCCTGTCGCGTTTTATGACCCATAGAAGGACAATAACTTTTGGAATCTCCGGTTAGGTCAAATTAGTCACGTTATACTGTCACGCTAATTTTGGGGGGGCAGAGGATTGGGGGAGGCGTTCGTTAAAATACTGCTAATCGTTTCCTGCTTAGAATGGCTAACTTGCTTATTTTTATTCAAAATGGTGGAATTTGAAAAGTTACAGCCCTGATTTAAAAATGGTACTCATTTTTCTTGTTACGAAAGTCTTTCAAAAGGGTGCAATGTTCAGATGAGTTTCTTATGTTTAACTCTCACATGAGATGCGATATCATACAATGGTCAGTGACAAAGTGGTGGCCTCGACAGTTTGCACAGACACCCTCGCCCGGGAAAAAAAATCTGCATATCAAATTAGAAGTTATGTAAAAAGTTATTATACAGCCCCGACTTAAACTGAATGGTACTCATTTTTCTTGTTACGAAAGTCTTCCAAAAGGGTAAAATGTTTCACTCTCTGACTTCAGATTCTATGTCACTCAATGGTCGGTGACAAGGAGATCTCACTCTGTCTTGACCTGAAAAGTAGAAAAGGCCGTGGGAGGCCTGGCCACGAGATTATGGCTGCCGCCCTCCCCAAGCCCTCCCCTCATAAAAAATCGTTCCGTTGCAGCCCAGTTAGAAACGCCTTTCGGAGATTCTTGTTCTTTTCTAACATTAGATATTGCCTTTTTAAAATTTATTTGAAAATACTCCCTGGGGCCCCGGGGTACAATATTTCGTGCAAGGATGTTTTGAACAGACAATGCAATTATCTTCCTGTAAATATTACTGGAAACTTCAGTTAAAGTGTTATAAATTCCGAGGATGAGGGATACATTATTGTTATTGAATATTGTCCAAATGTCGATGTTGCCTTAACGATATTTTGAAAGTCAAAAAAATGTGTGTTATTACTGAAGAGAAGCAATCACTATACAGCCACATGTAGGGTGGGGTGGGGAATGTGAATCAATATTTACCCATATGTCAGTTCGGCCAGGGAAGACATCAAAAACCGGCCAAAGACGGCCATCTTGGACAAAAATAGTTGTGAAGTTTATGGTTCTTTTCGTTGTTCTTTCTGTACATCTTTCGTTCGTCGGTTCTTCTCTTGTCGCAAAATGGCAACGAGAAGGACAGGGCAACTAGTACAGCGTAGCACGGCCTCTAGTGGAATTTTACCCGAGGATAACCCGGACATCGAAGGTAACGAAGGTTACGAGAGCGACGAAGAGACAGGCGACAGAAAAGAAACTCGACTCACTCTGATGGAAGAAGTGCTACTGTTAGGTCTTAAGGATAAAGAGGTAAACGTTAGAAGCTTTCGTTTGTCCTTGATGTCGTTAGGTCTCTGTGTAATGAACTATTTCGCTCCTGATCGCTAGGGTTATACGTCATTTTGGAACGACTGCATTTCATCCGGTCTGCGTGGCTGTATGGTGATTGAGTTAGGATTGCGTGGAAGAATCGAACTCGAGAAGACTGGAATGCGGCGAAGGAGCTTGCTTAACAGGCGGGTTTTATGCAAGAGCGATAATTTAACTGGCGATGTACTTTTGGATGAAGCCTTGAAGCACATTAAAGAGACCGATCCCCCAGATACTGCGCAAAATTGGATCGAACTACTAAGCGGTGAGTGAGAAAACGTAATTATTCATGTCGTCATCTACTTGCCACCACATTCAATTTGTTAAAATCAAACACCATGAAAAATTCCTATCCCTGTCTTTTCTTACATTGCGTTTTTTTCGCCGCATTTAGCCCACGAAACATCCCGATTTGCTTTTAAACTTATTATTTGTTTGCGTTGCCTATGTTGAACTTTTATGAGTTAATCCTGTGCGTCGATTACGTGTTGATAATCCAAAAAAGCTAAAAACTAAGCGGTTTCTGGTTTATGTTGTGCATTTGAATACTGGAAAGTATAAGAATAAGAATTTTTCTCAAGAGACTGAATTTTTGGAGGTTTTAGAACAGATCGTGGTCGGCATTGGATACGGTGAACGTGTCACTGTTTAGCATATATCTGTATATAATGTTTGCAGAATTAAAAAACCTTATGGGGTCAATTTTAAAGTTACGACCTATAACTTCTCCTCGTAGATCCTTAATACTTGTACCGCGTTAGTAACACTTGTTGAGACATTTTTGTAATTTGATTGCATTTGGGAAAATAATACAGACTTACATGTGCGTCTGAAAATTTCTGTAGGGGAAAACAGTAGCTTCTACAAAACTCAGACATTCTTTCAGCTTGTTACACAAATTCCTTCTTAACTACATCCATGTGACATAAAAGGAAACCTGGGAGCATGTATCCAGCCGTTGAAGATACTTTAAAATTGGTGTGCGTCAAATCAGGATATGATCATTGGACCGATTTGAATTTTAATGAATTACAGTGTATGTGATTGCAGTCACATGAAAAATGTCGTTTTTCAACCACAGTAACAGACCAAATGACATCTTGAAAAATTGATATGGTACCCCAGAAAATTTAAAAGTAAAAGCAGGCAACAGTAATGTTTCCTTTTAAAAAGAAGCCTCTTTTACCACCAGGAGTTTCGATAAAAATTGAAGTAGCTGGCAGGTTTGAATAGATTAACCAACTGTATTAACAAGGGGTCATTATTCCCTTTTTTCTATGGTGGACGATGGGGTTTGGTGGCATGCTTCCCCAGAAAATTTTGACACTTCAAAGCCTTAAAATGTGATTTTTAGCATCTGGGGACTAAACTGATGACAGAAGAGTGTATCTCTCATTTAAGAAAATGCAGCTTTCATCCATCTTTTGATTTATCAGTCACACAATCAATTCCTACAATAATAACTAAATTATGTACTTTTGCACGTAAACAAATTCTGTATAAACCTGTGAAAAAGTGACTAAAATATAGTGTTCAGATGACTGCATAATGTAAAACTAGTGGGCCTTTATGAAAACACATCATAATTATGTTTTCATTCAGATTTTACGATATATATATTTTTGTTTACAACATTATTCAAACTAGTTGCTTAGTTGCTTGTAGGAGCTGACTTCTATGAGCAAAGTAGCTGATGCATTTTTTTAGCCATCAGTGCTTATTGAAACCCCTGATCTTGATCCACTAACCAAGTGAATTTTAGCCTTGTTGTCATTTTGTTAGATGTGCTGTGGTGCAACTTTGAGACTGGTTCAAATTATATTTTCCTTTTAATATTTCAGTTATTATCATCCATCACAATATCCCAAAACCTTTGAAGTAAAATTTGCAAGGTTGCATTTGATTATTTCTCTTGAAATTTTCATTTATAATAATAATAATAATAATTTTAATAATCATCATCATTGTTAGGCAAATTATTGCTTTTTATATTTTGTTATCTTTTACTATGATTTTCATATTTTAAAGAATTTTGGCAGGCAAAAAGTAAAATTTGGCTAAACATTTCTGTGTTGGAGTCAAATCAATCCTGTTAGTAATTCTTTGGAGTCATGGATATATTTTTGACTTACAAAAATGCCAAATTTGCTGTATTTTTTTATCCGTCAGTCCTCCCTGTAATTTTTCTTGTTGCTACATGAAATTTAGTGTAGTATTCTTGAACATATGTCTTTTTTTTTCCTGCAGGAGAGACGTGGAATCCCTTAAAACTTAGATATCAGCTCAGGAATGTGCGTGAGCGACTTGCAAAGAATCTTGTTGAGAAGGGAGTGCTCACAACGGAGAAACAGAATTTCCTCTTGTTCGACATGACAACACATCCTCTTGTGGATTCAGGTCTCAAACAAAAAGTTGTAAAAAAAGTTCAAGATGCAGTCTTATCAAAATGGGTGAATGATCCTAATAGGATGGATAAAAGAGTGCTGTCATTGATTTATCTTGCACACTCCTCCGATGTTTTGGAGAATGCATTTAATCCTCTCTCTGATGACGATTATGAACTAGCAATGAAAAGGGTTCGAGATCTCTTAGAACTTGAACCCGAGGAGCAAGCACAGAAGCCAAATGCTAACGAGGTCATGTGGTGTGTAATTTCAGCTTTCATTAAATAAATGGGCTGGACTAGGTAGGACCAAGCAACTTAAAGGTAATGAAATCATAACTAAGGTCATTGCCTGGGCACTAATGAGCTGCTGTATTAGACCAGAATGCTGACTAACTTGCAGTTTAGTCTTAGAGCTCATTCCTATAAATAACGTATTCACTGGTTATTAGTAGATAGCATTGGTTTTTATGGTAATTAAAAAACGACTCAGGAGTTTTGTGGAGATTCTCTTCTTCCATCTGTGATGCTACACATTTCTATGTTATCAAAATAATGCTGTGTAGCTGTGGCTTGTTCATAGGAAGGAATGTGAGAGGGCTTGTGTATCAAATCAATTGAACATAGAATAAAAATGTTAAATTACACCTCACAATGGCTGTTTTCCATCCATCTTATATACGTTAAGAAAAGTAGCTGCAATAATGAAGTCCTCTTCGCTGTAGCTGGAAATCTTATCAATGCCACCCCGAGTTTGGTAATAGTAATACCGGTCATTAATAACTGATTAGAGTAGATTACAATGTATCTATTGTTACCTCTCCAGTTTTCTGAGGTATTTTTGACAAATTTGTGACATCTTTGATCTTAATAATGTCGACATGAAAATTTGGTTGCATTGACCAGGTATTTGTCTTATTATGTTACTATAAAGCTGTTCTAAACTGTATGATAACAAACATAATAGTAAATAATTATTTGATTGTGAATATCATTCTTCCAGGTGTCACACACACCACTGAAATGCTTAGTTGTGGACTTTAACCCTGAACTTCCATTAAAAAGCCTTACGGTTTTGCCAAATTAGTTGCTTTTCTGCACCAATCTTCTTTTGATCCAAATTTTAATTTCCTATAAAGTACAATCATTCTTCGATAGACATCACTGAAATGGTAGATACATTTTTTGTGGGTACTGTTTGTTATGACTGGGTATTGAAGGTGAGGAAGTGAGATTTGTTAACTAATGATCTACTTTCTTGGACGAAAGGATTATTTTGATTGTCTATGTTCGTTTTGAACTTCTTAACATAAAACAGGAAGTGCTATTAAAAAATATTGTTCAATGTTAGCTCTCAACATTTGTAGTTCATTTGTCCCAAGAGGGTATCAAGTAATTCTCTGTTTAAATGTGAAAGTCATGAGGGCAATTCCTAGGAAAAAGATGTACACAGGTCTGTATGATGTGGTATATGCCAGAGAGGAAACTAAACCTCTGGTTAAGACTATGCTTTCTGCAAGCCAACACCAAAATCTATGTAGTGGGCACGAACCTGTGTTTTAGGATTTGAGTAATTGTCATGATTGTCGATTTGCGAATCATGTTGCAGGGACTTTCAACACACACTTCTGGTAATTCATCAAGTCCATCCGAGGCCCAGAACAAGGTTCTCTCCACTGTTTCGGAGACGTTTACAGTGAGGGTTAGATCACATCCAAGACTTACTAAGGCTATTTATATATGGCATCGTTCATTTGCTTAAAAAGTTAATGTCACAAGTGTAAAAAATGTGTGTTGTTCACAGTAGAAAGTTCAATGATTGAACAGTTTGGTTGAGGTGTCCAAACAATACTTCCCTTCTGTTGTGCAAGAGGGTTCAGGGTTGTCACGAAGATTTTAGGTGGGGAATCAAACAGTGAAGGGTTTCTTTTGGTTCTTTTTTTCTTCTATTTTCCTTTGAAAGTAGCCAGGGGCCAGATTCATAGTAGCCGGAGGAAATCCCCAGCCCCCACCTCTTAATGACAGCCCTGGGGTTGTAGTATAGTTAAGACACATTGGTAACAGTACAGTGTGGATAATTACCAGAAGATAAACAGGAGCTGTGTATGCTTCACATGACTGATTCACTGTTTTTCACATATTTGAATAAAATGTGAGTATTGCTATAAATTGTACAGTACTGGGGCATTCCCAGCCTCTTTGAAAGGAATGGGGGTGGGGGCTTCCAGCTTTTCTGAAATTAGTCACTGAAGAAAAATTAATCATACGGATGGAAAGCTCTCCAAGTACAAACTGCGGCTATCTTGCAGCTTCATGTACCGTACTTTCAACTGGCAAACTTGCTCTTGCTAAATATGTGTTTTGAATATCATAGAGCAGCCTTGGAATTGGGGCACTCGAATCAGGGCACTTGGAAGATTATCCAATCACAATGTTGTTTGAAAACAAGATTCACAAGTTTTGTTACAAATGGACTAGTAACATTCATAAATATTTTGAGGGTTGTTTCGTGAGAGGTCAGGTATGTTCTAATGGTTTTTTAAAAAGTTCTCAATAGTTGCATTATCACATGCATAGTTCAACCTTGAATTTCCTGGAGAATCTATTATTTTCAAACAACGTTGTGATTGGATAATCTTCCAATTGACACGGTTCAAGTAGTCGCACTGTAATATTATTGATATATACTAATTTCAACATTTGTTTTAACTTTCAATAAATTTTCCTTTCTTGCTGTCCAGTGGCACTGAATAGCTACAAAGTACTATCTTTTTCTTGAAGGGTGGTTTTTTTTTAATAGTTCAAAGCTGGGTTAAGATAACCCAGGGTTAGTGCGAGATTTGAATTCAGACTTGAAAGCTTAAGAAGCATTTTAGTTTTAATTCTTTTTGTCTACAAGCAGATGGTTGGATGTTCTAAAAATTACATAGAAAATTATCCGAGAAAATGTTTTGAACATAAGAAAAAGAAACCCTGGTTAAGCGCTAATCAGCCTTCAAACAACTGGGCCCAGGCCTTTATATTGGGGTTTGACATCAGATGAGATCTATAATCTTTTTCAATTGATGCCAACATTGCAATACGTTTAATTTTTCTTCAGTTAATGACGTCTGTACTTACAATGTTAAACTCTTCTTTGTTCATTTATTCGTCGGTTGTTCCCGATCGTTAAACAATAGTTTTATAATTGGTAACATTTTGTAATTGGCAACATTTTTGTCTGTTAAAACTCCCTGGCCAAACCATGGCCAATTGACCACTCCAGAAATATCATAACATGCCATAATGCTCTTTGTTTGTCACTCTAAAATTTTGCTTAAGCATTGTCTTCAGTTTCTCTTGGGACTTAAAAGGCCCCAAGAGAAACTGAAACAATTCTTATGCAAAATTTGGGGTGACAAACAAATAGCATTATGGTATGTTATGGTATTTTCTGGAGTGGTGAATAATGGGGTCTAAATGTCGAACTATATAAAATGAGACAAAAAAGGGTTGAAAGAGTAGATGGGCAATATCGACAAAACACCAGTAAAAAATTAAATAATTTTATTTACAGGAAATCTCTGATATCATTTTAAAAATGCTTAGTTTTGGGCGCGCATCCCGTACACACCATTTTCAAACAATAAGTCAACGGTTAGCATTTCATAAATGACTGATTTAAACAAACCCTAAATTATTACTGCTCGCAATGCAGGAGTATAAGCCATATGTATAAAATAAATAAATGCATGTGTGATAGATGATATCTGTACAACATTTAACTGCCTGAGGTGATAAAACATTATATATGATTATCTAACGTACAATACCTTAAAAATTACTGAAAAAAAAACTAAAATGTTTAGAAGTGGCGTGTCAGAATATGTCTACATTTGACTGTTGGTCAGAAAATTTCTATACATTATATTTCTATAAGTTAAAAATATTTTCATCAGATTCTTCAAAAACAAAAATTAAATGCAAATTTCATTTTAAGGTACAAAACCAATGAGATGCAAATATTCTTTTAACAATCTTAACGCCACGAATACACAAGTTGCGGCACGTCAACGTTCCTGAAATATATTACTAGATTACACTGGCTAGAGCGTTTTCACATGACGTCACGGCGGCCATATCGGTGTTCTAAAACAATAAAACGGCGGCCTTGTTGGTGTACTAAGAAAATCCTGTGGGAGTTGAACTCTTTTCTCATGTAAATGCTTTCTTTTGTTCCGATAAATTAGCATAGATCCTGGCCACGTAAAGCGTTTTCACTTACGTGGCCAGCATCTATGCAAATTTATTGGAACAAAAGAAAGCGTTTGCATAAGAAAAGAGTTCAACTCCCACAGGATTGTCTTGGTACACCAACATGGTTGCCGTTTCATTGTTTTGGAACACCAATATGGCCGCCGTGACGTTTTGTGAAAACGCTATATTGGGCTACGTCCAGAAAAATCCAGATATGTTAGAAACCGCAGACTTTTTTTAACACGAATTGTCCTTCCGTCCACACGAACCCCGTGAATCCGGACACCGAAACCGCATTGTTTTGAAACCGTTCTCTAGATGGGCTGGGTTGTTCAAGGCATTGTTAAGATAACCCAGGGTTAGTGCCAAATTTGAATTCAGATATGAAAGCTTAAAAAGCAAATTCAATTTAATCCCTTTTGTCTACAATTTGATGATTGGATGCTCTAAAAAGTCAAGAAAAATTTATCCAAGAAAATACTTTTAAACAAATGAGAGAGGAACCCAGGTTTAAATTTAACCCCGGGTTAATACCCCATCCACACAAATCCAGACAAAACATATGCGGTTTTAAAACGAACGAACCAACCATACCTATACCATGACAACGGTTAAGCAGCTTTAGCATGATATTTTAAAAAATCTTGTAATGTCAATTGTTCACTTCAAGATAATCTACTAATTTATGCCTACTTCTGCACAGTGTCTGTAAAACTGAATACACAATACCACCAAATCCAATCACATTCAATTGCCATCCAGGAAAACCATTTTTCCCCTGGAAACGTAATTAACCTAGAGTAGTAACAATCTTTCATTTCAGATTCAGTGCTATTTCCGCCGTATCTTCATTACCACCGGTCCATAAGGTAATCTTCTGATCAGTTCAAGGGCGTCCACGCTCGTCATATACGCCACTCGCTGTCCATTAACTTCTAATATCTCATCTCCTGGTTTCAGTTTTCCACTCCTGCCAGCGACACTGTCTTTAAACACGTAGCGCACATGAATAGGGGCATCCCCATACAGCGAGTCCTGGCCCCCACCCAAAGA